CTGTTGTGTTTTCCTCATGAACTATTAATGAGTTTGACAATGTCTTATACTATATTATAAGTTGAATATCTGAGCAGGGATCTAAGAGGCATCTGAAGTGTTTTAAAAATGCAATATTTATTTTCTAGAAAATTGTTTTAAAAAAAAGAACAATGGAGGTACTATGCGAAACCTATTTTTGAAATATTGTCTCTTGTTGTTTGTACAAATAGAGTACTCAAGTGTGATGTCACGAAAAAATAATTTTTGACTTTTATTATTTTCGATCTCTAATTTCTATAGACAATAAAAAAAGACGTTTACACACCAAATTTGACGAGAATCAGACAATTATCAGCTGAGATATGACCATTTGAATATATAATTACTCCATCCAAATCACTGAGCCGAAAATACAGTGATTCGTATGGATGGAGTAATTATATATTCAAATGGTCATATCTCAGCTGATAATTGTCTGATTCTCGTCAAATTTGGTGTGTAACCGTCTTTTCTGATTGTCTGTCGAATTTGTTAACCAAAAATATGATCAAGCAAAAATTAATTTTTGTGACGTCATCACTTGAGTGCTCTATTGTTTCTATTTATTTTATTCCTTGCGGTCATGAAGACTTTGCTTTCAGCCAATCAGACTTGGTACATCAACTGGAACACTATTTTTGTTTCGAGGTTAGCGATTATGAAGAGGCATCGTTAATTGTGTTTTTTCAAGCTTTTCTACCACACCTTTGGGTTTTTGATATCAGAAATATTCTTGTACAAAATTTGTGTTTAGACGTCTTTTTAATAATATTTCAAGAAGCTACTGACCTTAGTATATTAGTATAGTGTGGTTAATCAAATTAAGAACAATTTGCATAAAATGAATAACATTTATGCAATGAATGTTTATACAGCTTCAAATGTAATTAAGACATCATGTTCTTTTGGGTAGGAATATGAATAATATATACTGCAAGTTTTAAAATTTGAATAAGCTTTTTCAGAATATACTCTGAAATAGACATACTACATAAAAAATGAATAAATTTCGCTCATAAAGTTTCATTTTGGCTTATTTTGAGGCATTTAGTCGGACATGTGAATGGGTTTATAACACCGGTTGCAATAGTATTCAAAGCGTAAATTTTAGCATATTTGTTTCAAGCTGCACGGTTTTCAGTCCCTCTTTGCATTAAGCTTTGATATCTAAATAAAATACAAGCTTTATGAATATTTCTGATAGTCCCTCAGGGAGCGAGTCTTAAAGAATAAAGACTAACAAAGGAGACGGTAAAAAGGTATAATTGAGATACGTATGCACCAGTGAACTCACGATAACTAGTTGAAATAAAAACACGAATTCATACAAAAAAACACCTTTTCTTTTTTAAGCTTCTAGATTACATTTGTGTCGAGGGATTGAAGCACGCCATTACTACTACTATTGGCAAGTTGGCAGTCAACAATCACCAAATAAGGCTTACTACAAAACAACTTTTTTTGAAACTTAAATTAACAAAAATCAGCTGGGAGAATCGTGTAAGATTCTCAATAAGCGAAATGCAGGAAATAAATAAATAAAAAGGAATACCAATGGGAAAAAAATTTGGTATTTGGGGGTTAGTTTGGGCTTCAAGGGACGTCACTCCCACTCGCTGCTGAGCCGTATTAGATAAAACTGGTTAAAACTTGGCGCATTTTCAAACGATGTGGATTTTAAAAACTACGTTTTTTCGATCAATATGAATTCCGCCGTAAAGTTGGAACAAAATTCAAGTTTAACGCGAAAACAGATGCTAGAAGAAGCAGGTCTCGCACCCACAATCTTTGAACAAAAATTATAAGATTGTGAGTAAAGGTTAGGAGTCAAATATCCAGCCACATTTTGCACTTTGCAAAACAAAAACTGAATATATCCACCTGTAAAATCCTCAGAATACTTATTTAACGACCTAAACTAATCCTTACCTGATGTAAAGACGAAAAAAAACAGTCTATGTGAAAATATCTCGCAGCCAGTATCCACCGTATCTCAAGGACTACTCACTCAAACACCTAAAACAGGGCGTGCTTGACGTTTGAAAATATGACGTTGTCATACCAACAGCGTAATTTTATATGTTGCTTAGAAATTTAAGACTTTTGGTAAATAAAATATTCATACGGTTGAAGATACTGAGCAAATAATGAAAAACCTTTTTCTTAATTTTATATATTGTTGTAAAGTCAGTGCTTTTTTACGATAATAGAGCATGTGGAATCTATAAAGATTGTTGCTAAAAAATTCGCATGTTTTTGACTAATAACATATGATTGATTGATGTATCTATCTGTTGATAATTCTTTTGATAGTAAGTATAATAGAAATATTGCAATTCGCGTAATTCGTCTTAAATTATATTTATTAGTGTCATATGAATTGTCGAGAAATACGAAAATAAGAAATCAATTAATATTATATTCAAAAACACAATTTTATATAAACAACATTTCTCGTGCTACCAAGTGTGGTGGAGCGAGTAAAAAACTCTGAATTTTTCAAAACTAATGAAGCAATAACGAATAATAAACTGTTCGGTTGTGTAGGCTCTCAAAACACGCTAGCTAGTGCGAAAACGAAAGAAACTTGCAAGAATGATAGCCCCCATTGCAGATCTCGCATATAAAGTGTGATTATTGACAGCTATTTGCCTATTTCTTGCTTTACTTTCTACTGTTCTTTTTGTCTTTCTTTTTCTCATTTCTTTTTCTTATTCTTATTTCAGTTGCGCGTTGAATAATTAGTCAAATTAAATTATTTAAATAAGCCTTTTCATAGTTTAAGAATCGATTCCACTGCGCATGCGATTTTATCCCGAAGTTCTCACTTATTAGTGGATTGAGAGCCACGGTTCTGTTTGATTGGCTCCGATTGGTATGGAAGCCATTTGAGTTCAATGGCACTTTTTGTTTGGCTCTGGGGAAGCCATTTTTGAGCAACGGTCCTTTTTGATTGGCTCCAAGTGGTATGGTTAACAATTTTACAATAACTAACAATTTTTTCGCGCGCTGATTGGTTATTTTTCATCATCAATGCTTGGTTTTCTAAAATCTTAAGTATTCACCCCATAAAACTGTTTTTTATTTTATGTTATTCATATCATTATAAGACAAGTCTTATACCAAAATAATCTTTATTGCGAGTCCAATTCTATCACGCAATTTTTCCACGCATTTTCAAAGCATTAGAAATAGGGAAATCTTATTGAAATAATGTTTTTAACTTATTAGATGATTGGTAACTTTATTTGGATGATTTTTGCTATTGAAAATTGAAAATGTTTGCAATTTAAACATTATTTCTGAACTTCGTGATTTGGCCGCCATATTGGTGTCCCTCAATAAGACACCAAAATGACGGACCCATACATTTCAACTACATTATGGGCATGATCAATCCCTTGTATCTAGGTATCTAAACTTCTTTTAGTAAGAATTTTGGCTGAGATATATATTTTTGGCTACTCTTTCGGCCTGTGGAAGTTTTGTTCTATATAAATCCTGGCAAAATTTTGGCAAAACTAACGTCAACGAGCGCGCGCTCTTTCCGTTGGTTCCTAAAAATGAGAAGTTTTTATCGTTATCGTTTTTGTTAAAAATGAGAAGTTTTTATTGTTTTTGTCAGATTCAGTTAGGTTGAAAAGGTCCTAATAAACGGACGAAACCAGTCCCTAAACTGCAATTGTGTTGTTGTTAGTGCGTGGGGGATTATAAAAATCACCAGAGGGTGTGTATAGATATGAATGTTATTGCACAGGGAGCCCAATTTAGGATAAAATGAATGATGATACATAAGAGGAATCATATAGGAAAACAAAGGCGCGCGCGAAAAAAAATGTGTTAGTGCATTTTTTATCGATATTTTTACTCTATCGTATTACGGAAGACATCTTGACCTCGAATTTAAAAAGTAATTATTTTTTTATTTCTTCCCGGTTTATTTTCACCATTCACTTTAATCTAAATTGGGCTCCCTGTGGTTGTCGTAATTAACAAAATAGACATCAGTCTTTTGTGTCTGTTCTCTTATGTCCGCACATTGTCACACTGCCTTGTGAATCTGAGACGAAAATATTTGAAAGAATGAATGAATGAATAAATGAATAAATGAAAGAACGAACAAATGAATGAAAGAATGAAAATGAACAAGGCATGATCTGAAGTCCTTTTCTTCTCTCTCTCTCTCTCTCATGGCTCCAGACTTTTTCTCTAACTTTGTCTGAGTCTGAGTCTACTCTAAGTCAAAACACCTATTGTGTAAACCACGAGGTGACAAGATCTTAGACAATCAGTCAAAACAATCAAGATCCACAAAACTGACAGCCGCTTAGATGAGACTCATACTTATGAGAGAACAATAACAACCCATTCCATTACATTACAGATTGTTTCTTTGTTATTATCTAATAGTTTCTAGCTATCCCCCATCAATATAATGACTTTCCATCAAGTAGAATAAATGCTAAGGTCCCCCAGACCTCCCCTCAATAGAAAAAATACAGGATGCACACAGGTATTCTCTAAAAAATTTCAAGAACTTTTCAAGGACATTTAAAGGAGTTTTGCAATGTTTTCAAGGACACAAAATCTCCTTTTTGACCTCGTTTCATAACAGGAAACGGACCAAAGAGCAGAAACTGTTCTATTCACGTCACTCTAGCACATGTTTTGAGACTTAATTACTCCCGGTCAGCATTCAGTTTTCATCAATATCAGAAATCAACATAGGAATATTATCAAATTTATTATTTGTATAATCAGTATATGACAATAATTGTCAAGCAATTATTGCTTTATTTTTCAAGGATGATTCATGCAAATTAAATTTAAGGGCATTTTAAGAATCAAGTTCAAGTATTTTTTAAGGAAATTTTACATACAAGGAGTTTTCAAGGACCTGTGTGCACCCGACTGTGCACCCTGAAGAAATTATTGTATATAAGAAACAAATGTTAAATTCTAGCTAAAAACACTACCAATTAAAAATATATATTTCATTTTTTTAATCAATCGATATACATACGTCTATATTGGGAAAAGACATACAATATTTTCCTTTGAGTTACCTTAATGTCTTGGGAACATTTCATGAATAAAGACTTCCTCAAAAACCAGTGCAAACCACCAAATAAATGTAGCTGGTTTCAAGTTCTGTCTTCAAGTTTCAAGCTCTGAATCTCACTACCGTCAAATTTTCTATCCAATTTTTTTCTTGTATCGTTACTTCTTTGAATTTCATTTTTTGTTTGGTTGGGAATATCTGTGGTAACATTATGATTAGATTCAGATAGGCACTGATCATTATCATCATCATTATCATCATCATCATCGTCTTCATCATCTTTGTGTATGTCATTTATGTTGTTGACATTTTTATCCTTGTTAACTTTGATTGGAGATTGCGTGCTGTCATTATTAATGGAAGGTTTCATTTGGTTTACGTCATTATTATCATTATCTTCATCATCATCAACACCATGGTCTTTGATATCAATATCATTATGATTACCATTATCACTTTGTTTACAATCATCTTCATCATTTGAATCATTGTCATTACTGTCTTCATTGCCATGATTATCAATGTGGCCCTCCTCATTCTCATCATCATCATCATCATCACCATCATCTCTTCATCATTTGAATCATTGTCATTACTGTCTTCATTGCCATGATTATCAATGTGGCCCTCCTCATTCTCATCATCATCATCATCATCACCATCATCATCCTCATCTGACTCTTCTTCCCTACAATAAAAAGGATATTTATGAGGTTCGAACATCTACAGCTGTATGTCATAGTTTCCACACAACAAAATTGATATTTTTTCAACAAGCTAATAAACATAGTCCACTATTTTCCCATTCCAGACCCCATGTCATTCCCTAGAGTATTATTTCTTTGTCTAATGGTTGCACATGAGAAGACACATGAATATGGATATGACTCAAACAAAGAAATGATACTCTAGGGAATGACAAAAATGGGAAAAGGGGAATGGATAAATCATTACGCCCAAGCAGATTTGGTACATAGAGGCTTTGTGCCATGGCTTGATGGCAGCCATGAAGGGCTGTAACCAGGGGGGGGGAGCACAGGTTGCATGTGCACCCCTCCCATAAAAGCCCCACCTCCCCTGCAAGATCCCTGGTTATGCCCCTGTCATGACAAACAGGAGGCACAACAATAGAGTCTTCCTTCCCTGGGAAGCTGAAGTTTTTCTCATGTAATTCAGATAATTGACTCTGGTACATCAATTGACTCTGGTGTTGATGTTCCTGCCTCCTGCCATGGCTGCCATCATGTGCTGGTGCAAAGCCTCTACACAAGAGTATTTCTTACTTACCTGTCATATCCAAACTGAGAAGAAGAGACTAATCTATTGGGATTAAAATGTTCTTTCTCCATGTCAATATCTGTCATGTCTAAAAAGCATACAATTCAAATTAACAAATAGACATTATTTTGTCATGTGTCTGTCCTCTTATTGACGATAAATTGCATCATCACATTGTCAAAGTAGTGTGGGTCTATGAGGCATATTCAACTATCCTATTATTGATAGTTGTTAATTATGTTATATATAATCATATTATTCAGAAATTTGTACATGTAAGTTATTGCATAAAACATCATATTACTTTAAAATTTAACATAAAACCAGAAACAAAAGACTTTTATCTGACAGTTATTTGGTACTGTAGTTCTCTTTCCTGATTTGAGGGTTTTCCTACAGGTTCACCAGTATTTCTTACTCAGCAAAACCTAACCAGCTACATTCCAATTCAATGAAGAAAAACTAGCTTGATAAAACACAATTCACATCTTTAATAAAGAAATCATTGTTGTTATTGTTGGTAAATCAAAGAAGAGAAATGTCCAAGAACAGAGACTGATCATGATGTTACACAGTCTCAATCACCGTCAGTCATGCCTCCATTTCTCCAAATCTTATTTCAGATTTGCACGTACCTTGCGATGAAGCATGAGCTTCACTCTTTTCCTTTTCACACTTTTCTAACCATTCGTTTTGTCCTTCAATGACTTCCTTGCTGTTCTGGCAAGATGCATAAAGATCCAAGAGTTCCCTAATGTCAAACATTAAATTACTGTTAGTCATTACGGTGAGGGGATAGGAGGGGAGGGTTTGTCACAGTCTATTGGTAAGGCCCTGTTAGGGGACAGTTCCCATAAGAACCGGCCTCGAAACAGCCACATGAGATCACCAACAACAGACTACTTTGATTAATTACTGACAGGCCCTGTTAGGGGAAAATTCCAACCAGGGACACAAGAAGCACAGGAGAGAACCAACAAACAACTCTACTCACATACCACACCGAGCTCAGCGGGACTCGAACCCGGATCGCATTGGCATGCTTCCCTGATTTTTTAAGCTGTGGGGAGGCTTTGGCGATGGTCTATTGCAAAATATTATTTAATTATGGTATGATAAATAGACTCAATGTTTTTTTTTATCTTACTGATTCAGTGTATAGAATGTTTTTCCCCACTTGAATACTCTTAGGATGTTTCTTCCAATTTCTTCAAAACCTAAATATGAATCATAAGGTCACAACAAAATATGGTCTTAAGCTCTGAAGTTAGTGTGCTACCAGCCATACCTTGAACCTTCTACAAGTTTTTTATTTCATTTTGACATCTTTTTGAAAAGTTTTTGACAAGTTTTAATTGTGCTCTTTGCCACTAATCAATTAGACATTGGCACTTCACATTTATGGTTGGATAGGTGGAGTATGTACATCGATGTAATGATAGCAAAACATCAAAGTGAAGTGCTAAACATAATTAGTGGTAAGAAGATCAATTAAACCTTGTCAAAAAGTTGTTCAAGGTGTGTTCAAGGTAGTCAGCGCTTAGCACTGTAAAATAGACTGTTTTCAAATTAGTCAAATACTGATATGTTCTTTGATCACAGACTCATTTATGCAGGATTAGCCTCATTTTAGTATCCAAATCTTTCAAAATACTAATAGTAATGTAGAGTGCACAGCTACAACAACATGGACCTCTACTAAAATGAATGAATACTCAAAATAATTCCATACAAAATCAACGCAAACCCTTTAAAGCAGAGAATTCAAAACTGAAGTATTTCTAAGGGAGGAAGACCAGAGAACCCTAGAAAAGCTCTCAAAGAGAGAACTAACAAGTAAATAAAGTACATACAAATACCTGTGATGTATAGAGTTGCAGCAAACGCTTCGACACAAGAGAGTTTACAAGGATGCCCATAGTTGATAGGATTGGCAGCAACAAGGTACGGCAACAACCTAGGGTAACCTCCGTGCATCTTCTTAAATGGTGTACCCTGCAGCTTTGCCCAAGAACAATCAATCACAGCAACTCCATGAGCACTTACAATATCTCTGTCCTCTGGAGAAAGACATTGTGTTCCAACAGGACTGAGAATAATGCCTTTGAAACTCTGGGATATTCTGAGAGTCCTGACGAATCCTAGTCTTGAAAGTTTTTTTCCAGAGCATTTTTTGGGGTCGCAATGTTCCAAATCCTGAACAGTTACATAACAGACAATTTTATTTTGGAAAAGATATTAACATCTAACATGTCAGTCAAGTATACATGTATGCTTTTATTATGCATTGACAACAGAGCTTGCAAAACTTACCCACATTGCCAAAGGAAAGGGTAGTCCACGGCCATAATCTTTCTGCGCACTTGCTTCTCCATGTGCTAAGAAAGTAACTCTTAGTTTAGTTGTGTTTTGGGGGGGGGGGGGGGGGAAAAAAAAAGCTCAAGTCTTAATAGGGCTAATGTCATTCCCAAAAGAAGACACATTAAAATGGATTAAATAATCAGCATTTCATGAGAAAACAATTCGTCACTGCTAAATTGAAAGGTAGAGTGTTGGTTAAGCTCTAATGATACAGTTTTTTCATCAAAGAGAAGTTATAAGAGAAAGTAGTTATAAGCTAGGCGGCGGAACCGGGGGGGCCGGGGGACATGTGCTCCCCCACGAAATATTGGTTCACATGAAATAAAAACGCAGTGTCTAAATGCCCGGCAGCCGGTCGCGGTCTAAAATTGACTAAATGCCCGGCAGTCCAAACTTTCACCAAAAAAAAAAACGAGGACTGGCTACAGCTAATGGTATCAAACTAGTCTAACTTTATTATGTTATATTAAGTGCTTCCTGTAGTCTGGACTGATTCGAAAAAAGATTGTCTGTATTCGCTTATACGTAGGTAATTTATCGTATTTTTTGCGAAAATTGCGACCGGCAGTGTTGGCGAAAATATTCTAAGTGACATGAACCAAGTGCTCCGTATTCTATGCCGAGCGAATACAGACAATCTTTTTTCGAATCAGTCCAGACTACAGGAAGCGCTTAATATAACATAATAAAGTTAGACTAGTTTGATACCATTAGCTGTAGCCAGTTCTCGTTTTTTTTGGTGAAAGTTTGGACTGCCGGGCATTTAGTCAATTTTAGACCGCGACCGGCTGCCGGGTATTTAGACACTGCGAAATAAAAATGCATAGATTCGATTTTAATTACTGTTATTAAGTTATTTTTGTGATTTTTTGCAGCGCTCCCCCAAAGATTTTCAGCTTCCGCCGCCCCTGAGCTTAATACAACAAACAAACAGCTAACCACAGTTCTCGTAGTCTCCACCGTATTCAATCTCACTGGATACATCCTTTTGCCATTTTTCTTCGTATCTTAAGCTTTTACTCGTTTTYTGTCGGCTTTGTGACGACTTTCCTTTTCCTTTATGCTTACCCATGTTTATATGACCCTTTTATAAGCCAAAAAACAAGAATTAAGTTAAAAAGGGTCAAACACTAGTACACGTGAAAAGCTCTTCTTCTTCCGCCATTTTGTATTTATCCCTTTGTGGAAATCGCGGAAGTCTAGGTACTAGTTCGTCTTTTGGGGACTGGGTCACATGGGTAAAGAGTTTGATTTCATTTTTCCATTTTTCTTTCTTCCTTCCTTCCTTCCTTCCTTCCTTTTTCTTTTAACATTTTTTTCAAAATTCTAACTCAATCGACTAGGTCTTAGGAAGGTTGTTCTCCCGAATGAAGTCTTGGGGTGTATCAAATTGGCCAATCGGCGTGACGCTATTATGAGCGCTATATTTTTTCCCCAATTGTATTAACCCCAATAGCGAAAGCTCTTAGAAACCTATTTAATGTCTGCATCAAGCGGTAAAAAAGCAGGGCCTGTATTTTGTTTACCTTGGTGATTCTAATTCCGCTTTATAAAGTAAATCTCGACGCTAACATTTTCTTGAACTACAGGTAAGAATCTTTCCTCTTGAAATTAATACTTCCAAAAATCTCTGTCCCTCCTCCATATTCAAAGATTAGAAAAAGAAATTGAAAGAGATGAACTAATGCTGAGTGAGTGAGTGTAAAAAAGAACAAAATATTGGCTTTCGTTTTCGTTTCATCTTTGAACATCAGGGGCTGGTTGTACAAAGGGTGGATAGCGCTATCCGATATATAAAACCTTATCCAGTGAATATAGAAAAATAAACTTAAATAAACATTTTCACATTAATAGGCTTCTCTTTTCCTAAGAAATTTGA